GCATGCCTGGGAAGAATCGGCTTGGAGCGGGGCTGGCGGACGGTCCAGTCGAGGCGAAGCGGCGGAGCGAGAGGATTGTCCGGCGGAGGGCGGTTGAGACGGAGGAGTAAGTCGACGACGAGCAAATCGTCGGCGAGAGCCACCTGCAGCCATTCGTCGTCGGTCATGGTAAGAGATTGAGGTTCCGATGGCGATGGCGAGAGAGAGAGAAGAAAGAGGGTAGCGTTTGAAAAAAGTGGGGAATGGGGAAAGGGAGAGGTTTATATAGTTGGGCCAACTTTGCCACTGGATCGTCACGTACTTCTCTCTCTCTAAATTCACAACTTTCTCTCTCATATGGCCCCATTACGAAACGTGGCACTAACTCCATGTATTTTCTAACACTCTAAAAAATTAAGTTTAAAAGCATTATTACAAAGATCTCTCTCCAAAATATTGAAAGTTAGAATTTTCAAATCAAAAAACTAATAAAATATATTTTTAGTTCTTAAGTTTACCGAAATTTCAAAAAATACCATAAAAAAGGTAGAGAGAAAGAAGAGAGAGAGGAAGAGATAGATGAAAATAAATAAAAAAATTACGCATAATTTATAAATAGTATAAAATTTATAAAATGTCCAATTCATAGTTCCATATCACCATTCAATCCTGTAATTTCTTATAACTATTTTTTAAAGCTCGGAGACGAAACTGTTATTTTTTGAAATTTAAGAATCAAATAGAAACATATTCTCAAACAATGTATTTTATAAAAAATATATATATATCAATTTTGGATTATTTTATTTTTATAAATACTTTCAAAATTTAAGTGAAATTTCAAAAAAAAAAATTGATCTTGCTTGAAGAGAAATGAAGTAAGATACAATTAAAAAGAAAAAAAAAACTAAAAAATGAGGGATAACTGGATTTTATATTTATTTGAGAGAAAAAAMTGAAAAAGGGGAGAAGGAATATAAGAGAGGGAGCGGTGAGGGGGCATATAAATGTGGCGGGTGGGTGTGGTTTTTAAGTTCGTTACATATGAAGCGCGTGACTCCACTCTTTTTACACGTGCCGCTTATCTACTCCACACGTGCAACTTATCTTGCGCTTCGCTTATTCCCATTTTACAACTCTGCCCCTTGCTTCAAGCCTAAGGAGTAAGGCCTAAGCCTGTCCTGTAATCTCAACTCGCGAATGTGAAT